AGGAGTTGTTTCAACAACAACAGTCACTGGGTCACTTGGGTTTGAAGGAGTAACAGTATAGGTTGTGGCAACGGATCCAATATGTGTTGTAGTGGTTGTTGATTCTGGAGTTTTGACTTCAACAGTCACAGGATCACTTCGGTTGGATGGGTAGTGGGTGATTGTTGTAGTGTCTGTACCGGTCCATGGATCAGTAGTTGTGGTTGTAGTTTCTGGTACTTCTATAGTAACAGTCACATCGCCGTCCGATCCTGTTACAGTAAAATACTCAGTATCTGTTCCCGTCCAAATATTAGTGGTGGTGGTGGTGGTGCACAAGTCTTCATCATCGGCTGTAGAATAGTACCATGGAATATCATCTGTGTGCGTGGAACCGTCGGGATAAGTCACTTGAAGTGTCATTCCAGCTGCTGTTGGTGCCCTATTGTAGTAAATAATCTTCACCGGGTAATAGTTACCTGTTATCATAGATACCTTTGATTTAGACAGTGTGGAGCCTCCACCAGTGGTTCCATTAGCCTTGAGTGACCCTCCTAGTGAAAGTTCTTTGGCGCCAATACAACAGTCTAAGTCTTGTGTAGCCCCACCCAAAGTCATGGCTATTGAATCGTCAGCTTCTGTGAAAGTGAATGTGTAAGTCCCATCTCCAGGAGCGAGAAAATATCCTGAAAGTCTTAAACCAAACTTGACAACGTTTGTGCTTCTACCATAAACATCTCGGTAGTCCGTGGTACTATCAGCATCAGCTGATGTCACTTGGGTAATTCCAGTAAATGAAAAATTAATATCACTAACTCCATTATTGGTATAGTCTGGGGTCATTGAATCTATGACGTTAAGATAAGCAGTATTCATATTTTTGTAGGCCACATCATCAAAGTAATCAACTGAAAGCCCACTGCTGGTAGATGGAGGAGAGCATCCTGTGGATCCAAGAACAAAAGGAAGACTTAAATACCAAATCAATATCAATCTAAAGAGCATCTTGCGTTGTTGCCATTCATTCTGAAATATTGGTCTTTTTATATCTTGGACTTAGTCATAAAGGATAGCACTTTGTCAGTTGCCTCATCAGTAGAATATCAGGCTTGCTTGTACAGTTTTGGATCGCTTCAGCAAGACAAGTTCATGCCCCATTTTGAGAGGAGAACAAAGGGTTTATTGGAATTTGACAACTTGAAAGGGAACTTGAATAATTGAAAATCATACCCCCTATAATATTTGCAAAAGAAAGGAAACTCTAATCAGGTGGTTAAATGTCTACTATTCCCAATAGCCAGAAAGGTTGGTTTGGAAGACCGTGAGTTGTACTGATTAAGATACATTGCTTCTTCAATGGGATGGTTCAATAGCTAATAAGTGAGTTCATTTCAGTTTGAGCCAAAAGAAGGAATAAGGGAAGGATTAATTGGGGAGCTGACAAGCTCACGCGTGTCTTTATCTTCAACTTATTTTCATTACTGATGTACAAGATGGCATACGGTTAAATATCTTACCTAATGAAGTTACTTCTGGTCCCACAGCTACCTTTTTCGAGCGAGAAACTTCCTGCAGCCAAAAACAGGGGGTACTTGCGCGCATCTCTTTTCGTGCACTGGACACAAAAGCATCTATATCTCTATTCTATCAAGGCTAAAATACCCAATTAGATTTCAGATTTGCATTCGTACCTAGAATTGTGAAAATTAAACAATTGAATAAAATACTAATTGTGCATTGTTATTGCTTTAATGCTCATCACTCTGTTTAAAGGGAGGCCCATTTCGTGAATAACTAGTTTAACGTCTTATTAATCTGTTCCTGCTTTGGACAAATTGTAGCTTTCCTGTTTCGAATTTATCGTACAATCGATTTCGTCATCAGCAAACTATATTTTTATGCATTACTAATACCCTATTCCTAATTCACTATCAATATGTCTTAAGATAGTTACTAGTGTTGCTTGGGGATATGACGTATTTCGATTTTAAGGAGTTAACTCCCTCCGCAAACTACTAGTCCTTTTTCTTTGGAATCATTGGGCACTTGAACTGATACATGTCCTATTGGCACATTTAAACTGTACTAACTCGTACGATTACTGCGCCCTTAATTCCTTCCTAAAAGTCAGCTTTGAAAAGCTTGGCAGATATTATCCGGGTAAGAAAAGGAGCAATGATGGCCTATTACGACCAGGAACTTCTGGAAAGGGTGATAATTATTGTAGACGCGGACTATTGTTGGCCAAAAAGTAATCTAACATACTAAATTCAATTGATTTCCAAGTGAAACCGTAACTCAAGGGAAACTCTTTACAAGCAGGG